TCTGCTCCTGTGCCTTATACCAGAGCCTAGGAAAGGGGCAAGTGAGATCTTCCTCAAGTACTAAGGTTTCCTATTGTCTTATTAAAGAAAACGCATCAAAAAAAGTAGAAAACTCAGTCTATGTGTCTCCTACAGAACCCAGCAATACCTTTCTTAGCCACTGTCAGCAGAACTCAACATCAAAAATAAAAGCCAACAGAAGGAAAGTCACGTTTCCAGATTCAGTATATGACACAGAGATGCAAGGGGTCTGGGCACTCTGCACTCACATGCTTTCACTTCCATTACGAGGCAAGGAGTCTTTCAGCTGGCTTATTTTTGTAGGGCTTTTACAAGATAGGACGTGTCAGCTCAGTGCCTTCCTACAGCAATATCTATCCCTAGCCACAGAGTTGCATTTTTCCTATTGCTCAACAGAACAACCCACAAGCAATTCTGTAACTTCTATCATAACAAGAACAGAAATCCCAGCCACGCGAGAGAACAAGCCTCTCCTCCCACACTTACGTTCTTTCGGTGATTGGTCATGGTAGAAAGCTGCTGTACCAGGTCTTTGAGTTTCTCGCTGTCTCTGCCACAGAGCACCAGCTGGGAGCCAGCTGCATGGAAGGCTTTTGCACATTCTTTGGAGAAAGCGAGGAAGAGAGAAAAGTAGACATTTGAATGCCAGAAACAAACAGCAGCTCCACATCATACCTGGGTGATGGGCTAAAACTTCTTATAGCTGGTGAGGGTCTAAGTTGGCTTTGTTACTCCTGAGTGATAGGCTGATTTACAGTGAAGTCACAGCAAGGTGCCATTTTCCTGTGACTTGGACAGACCTGTGGGAGTGGTGAGGCAGCTGGTGTGTTCACAGTTACTGTGCTGGTTATGCAGTTATTGGGCTGTTAATGCATCCTCCCCCATCAGCAGGTCGGGTTTGCCCGTGCCTCGTAATTTTTGACTGTGCCTTTCTTAAGAGGGACTACAGTTACCTTGTGTATGTCATCTAATGCAGCGGGGCCTGGTCTTAGGAGTTCCAGTTTTAGTGAACACCTCCAAAGGTTTTGGAAGCCTTGGAGCTAATGGCTTCATCAAGGTGATCCTCTTCATCAAGAAAAGGCAGAAGAATGGATGCCAGGCTATCGTCCTCCTCTCAGTGCTACCAGCCGCTGAGGCAATCACATGTTCTTCTACCCCACCTCTCTGTCATCCGGGGAGACAAATTGCTTATTTGTGCAAGAGATTACAGTGGGTGGTAACGAAGGGCGTTAAAGAACACACAGTGATTAGAGGTGGTCTAGTATAGGAATAACTGGGAGTTGAGGGGAATAGTATAGGATCTTGCCAATGAGTCAGTAAGGCGGGAGACTTCACTGTACAGTGGTGGAAATCTGTACACCCAACAACACACAGCGCTTCACCTGCCCAGCCTATCGCAGCTGGAAGGTCTCTCCTGAGTTACGAGTTCTATCTCTTCTTGATGCGAAATACAAATTCTTTGCCACTCCCAGCTCTTTGGTTCTGACAGTCAGGGAGGACCATTTCATCTCCTTTGGCCATTCAGTTACTGAACACCTCTATCCTTAAGGACAAACTCACACGCGAAGCCAGTGTCAATTTAAGCTCTATTTGTTCTATAAATGTACTCATCCTAATGAAAGGCCTCAACAGCACAGAGCACCTTGTCTTCTCTTCAAGAAGCTTTTAAAGCAAGTACAGAAAGCAGAATTAGAGAACGTATCCCCTCAAAGAATAAATTTTATTTGGAAAAAAAATACCGTGTTTTTATTTAGCAAAAAAAAATACTCGCTGGTGTTAATATTGCCAAGAGTTTAAATTTAGAATGGATGGATTTGTACCCCAGGAGAAGAGGTACCTTAACTTGAGGGAGAGGGGCAGGGAGAAAGTATAGCAGGGTGTCTGGAAATCAAACAAACATGAATGCATTCTGGGATGTTTTGGAGAAACAGTGTGACTTCCTGGATTTTTCAGGATTTAGAGAAAAGACCCCTGACAGTGCAAGAACAGCATAACTTGTTCCTTGCTTTGATGAGCTCCAGTTTATACAGCATGATTAAAATTTTCCTCAACAAATTTTGATACTTTCTTGCATCGCAGTTTGCGCTGGCTATAGTTATAACTGATAGCGCTGTGCAAGCTATGTCTCCCAAAAGTCAGAGCAGTAGGAACTTCCTGCTCATTACTGCTTTATTCCAATAGGTGCCTCTCCCGCCACCCTCTGCCTGTCCTGCCTCTGGTGCCCTTTTTTCGGTACCTACCTTTTCCCAGGCCAGAGGTAGCCCCTGTGATCACAACCACTGCTCCCTGGAGGTAAGCTCGCATCCGCATCCACTGCAATAGCCGGAAAAGGCCAAAGATCCCCAAGCTGCCAAAAAGCAGCGGGATGATGACTGTGCTTGTGAGATCCATGAGTTTTCCTTTCTGAATGGTTTTCCTAGAGGCACAAGATGAAAGGGAAGAGAACATTTCACCATCAAGAAAATTAGCAGAGACTTGAAAACTAGGGAAATCCTTTTTGTTAACCCTGCCTTAGCCCACCAATGCACCAAATCCCATACGGAGGTATCTTCCACAGAATTCCTCATCCCCTCATTTAGACTTTCAGAAGTTCACATCAATAGCCAACTTCAAGCATTTAAGTGCTAATCGGAACATCCCAGCAGGACACTTGGTGTTAAATCTTTTCAGCTGGCCTGTAACAAACTTGGGTTCAAAGATGCTGTTCCCACATGCTTTTCCATTTTGCTTTAGGCTCACTCTCTTATACAAAGTGTATTTAGAGTGGAAGCTCCTCAGGGCTGGGCTACGACTCTGCATTCTTCTGACTGTAATAAAACCTCTTAAGATTTCTCTAGAACAGCCAGTACCACAGTATCTACATGCCAGAGACCAGTTACTGTGTGTTATCCCACATGGATAGAAGCCAGTCTATCTTCTGGAGAGGCAGAGTAAGTTTTCTCTCTGAGCACATTATTTGCTTAATGCACTGAAATCTCTGCTTCCATCTCCAGTGTCTTTCACCACCCGTCAGGAGAGACAAGTTATCAGATTTAAATGAACCACATGTCCAGTCTAGTAGGCTAAAGTCTACATCCATGTTCTTTACTTTTAAGCCAACGTTAATTGTGCAGTTTAACAGCATGAACCTGTGTTCTAATATACTGGAATGAAACCCGAGCTAAAGGTATCTACGAGACCTAGCTCATCCTGGAATTGGATTCTGATACCAATGCACAGCTCTGATCTCCTTGCTTAAACCATTCCCTTCAGGGGAGTAGTTTATGTTACAGCTTACTACATGTCCAAGGAGTAAGTGATACTTCTGCTGTAAAAAAGGTCACTGATTTTCCCACTGTATATACCCCTAAGCTTTTATGCTTGATGTCACAGTACAGTTAGTTACAACCCCTTCCTGGAATCTGTACAACTTTTAGGGCACACACAAAGTCAAACCCAAATATTAGTACATCTTCCTTGTTGTGCAGATAAGAGTTTGAACTCTTGCAGTTTGACCTGTGAGATAGGCCTTTACCAGGAAGATATCGGAAAGGTCCAGGCACACAACTGCTTCAAACAAAAGGACAGCACAAGTAGCAGAAAACAAGAGGTAACTAATAATGCTAAGCCAGAAGTCAGTGACATTAAGTAGGACTGAGCTTGTATGGAGCTAAAGGGGTGACAGAGGCTCTGCACGCCGTGGAACACAGCTGAAGTGGAAAATGTCAGGCTCTTCCAGATTTCCAGCAGGGACTTGGACAGATTTCCTCACGTAGCTGGTCAGTGAACAGACTAGCTTGCTGAACCAGTAGTGAACTGTATAAAATAAGTATTTCTGGAGTTATAGCTAGAACACAATAAAATACACATAAAGACAGCTGAGCTAGCTCTAAATAAGCTTGACAAGGCCTAAAAATAAAGCCAAGTTAGTACACAGCTCTTCTCAAGGTACTGTGGAGCTTCCCATTCATGAGCTAACTCATGTATCGACAAAGTACTTCACTGTGTAATACGCTGTACATAATGCAGCTAGACATCCAGGCCACAAGCTCCCCCGGGCGTAGGGAGTGTGCCCAAAGTGGGAAGTCAGGAACCCAAAAGGAGGATTAAACTCATTCTGTTGCAAAGCAGTGCATGAGCACAGCACCCAGCTGCTCAGACCAGTGTCTTATTTTTCCACCTCTTTGTGCTGAGTGCGCATAAAGAGCGTATATTTTGTACTGATTTACAGCAGAGGACTGGTAGAGCTGATTTAACGTAAGAGTGTGTATTGCCCCTGAAATAATTCCTGGGAAAGAGCTGTTTAGACACAAGGCCACCTTTAGGCTGGATAATCAGGAGGTTCTCCTTACTGGTTCATGTTCAGCTTGTCATTTAAAGCAGCTGCCCTCTTTACATTGTCCTTTTTATTTTGCTCTCAAAGGTCCCTCAAGGTTCAGAAGACAAGATGTGGGCAGGGACAACAGCTGCTGTGCTGACACTGAGCAGCGTGGCTTACAGGACTTTCTGGAATCAAAAATGTTCAGCTCCCATTTAGGACCTTTTGTTATTTCCAAAGTGGGAGCTGACAGGTGGTGTGGCACTTCCTTCATGAGCCCAGGTTGAAGCTCAGGCATTTTAAAAATCTGGCCCTGACCACCTTTGCTTCTGATTTCATTAAAATGCAGACGAGCAGTGTAAAGCAGATTAAAAGGTAACTGGGAAGATGAGGTTTTTCTGACAGCTTTTCTAACTAAACCACACTGGGAGATGGGAGGGAGTGCCGTGTTTGATTACAGCACAGTTCTTCCACATTCTTCGGCAAAAATAAATGTTGAGTTTGCAAGGACTGAACTCTCTGCCACAGGGGCTGGCGGAAGAGAGCCCCCATCTTACCAACTAAAAGCTAACCGTGTTTTGGTCAGGTAGCATCCACGGCTCATCAATACGAACGAGTTATGCCTGATGAACATATTCCTTAATCATTTCACTTATTCTTCTACTTTCTAAACACAGAAGGTCTGCTTTTAATCGTTTTTCATTTGAAAAATCTTTCCTAGCCTTTTAATGTTTTTCTTTTCTCTTCCCCGCCCCCCCATGTTACATACAGGAACTGGGCAAATTACCCAATCTCTGCCCGAAGGCTGCAGCAAGCCACAAACCCCGTCAGCAGCAACAACTTGCTTCTGCAGCTTCCAGGATAGAGTTTGAATCAACAGGTAACCCCCTCTGATATATGGGGAGGGGAAATACAGGATGGGGAAGAGAAAGACGAGATGAAGGATGGGGAGCAAAAGGGAGAGAGACTCACCGATCAGAGATGTAGATCCTTTTTTGTTAGGGCATGCAGTTGCAGTACCTTCTTCCAACGAAGGTACTCAAATGGCCCCTTAAAAAGAGCCCCAGAACAAAGAAAATCTCAGTTCAGTCAGACCTAAGAAAGCAGACAACCTAGCTGAACTAAATTATTTTGGAATGAAGAATTTCTTTAGCACTTTAGACCTACAGCAACAAGTTTTGCTTTGATTTCATAGACTAGCTTGTATCACAAACCCATGAGTCCTTATTTTAGCTTGTCCTATTGAACATGCTGAAAATAATCATTGATAAAATATCCATGGAACAAGAGAGCATGGAAATGGCTCAAGCCACAGAGCCACACTGCAGTATGTTCAACAATACCTATCTTACGGAGCCCAGTGCCAGGCTGCTGACGCAACGGGGTGGCAGTTACCTTCTCTTCAGCTTTCAGGGTTGTTTGGTGGAAAGACCAAAGGAAAGGATTCCTGCAACCTGAAGGAGAAGTTATATTCTGTTCAATATTGGGGTTACTTGCTGCAATCTGAAGGAGAATGATGTAGATCACAGATAAAAAAGGCTTGATTCACATCAACAAAAATGCTAAGTTGGAAGACAAAGGCTAGGAGAAGAAGATAAAAAGCATAAACCCCAACCTAAGATAGAGAACACTTTGAAATAGCTAAAGACATTCCAGGGCAGGTAACGTTCATGTCACATTAGAAACATGGGGGAGGGTGGGGAACACATGGGTTTCCACACCTAATTTGAGACAAACTTGATATCCTCAGCCCTCCTGCTCAAAGGTCTGAGACCCCACTATCACCTCTGTTTGAAAATGTGGGTATTCATGCTGAAAACAATTGTTATTAATTCTTAACAAATAATGTTTATGACACCAGGTTATGGGCAGGAGAGAAGCCACTGCTCATAATTGGTGCAGATAAAGTCCTGTCATTCTCAGTTCTCCATCCCAAAAGGCAGGACTGGAACACGCAGGTTATTAGAGAGCAGAAATAAGAACACCGATAATGTAAGAAAATAGAGGTGATTGGAAACTTTTTGAAAGGCTTACCATAAAATAAATCACATATATCCAGTTAAAAAAAAATGCTTTCCCCTTAGAACAAACCTGGATGTTACCCCATAAAACAATGATTTCCAGAGGAATAAGGATCTTAGTTAATAAGGTCAAGAGTGTGCTAAAGGCAGCAAAGATGAGATCAAGCCCTAAAAGAAACTAAAACCATGCTAGTTTCCCTAAGCAACGCCTGTTCTGCTTTAGCTTCAGCCACCTAGAACCACATTGTCCTTTACATGACAAATGGCACCAACTGGGAGGCTATTTTCAGAAATCAAAAGGTGTTATTTAAAATGGGGGGGGGATAAAAAAAAGGAAAAAAAAAAATATCTTTTTTTTTTTCCTAAGGAAGCCCTTGTCCAGAAGCACCGCTTGATTAGCTACCGCCCTTAGTCTGAAGAAAGCACAATATCCTACCTTTGAAAAGAACTCACTTGCCAGTGACTCTGCCGGTGTCTCCCTCTGGACTTTTAACAGGACAGACCTGAGTTAAATTTGGAAATGGCAGCAGTCCAAGCCAAGGCGCTCTGTCCAATGCTAGCACAGCCAAGAACTGCCTCTAAAAACAAACCTCGGGAATATGGTCTGTGACCTTTGAAAGGTGGGGGTAATTTAACCCCCAGATCAAAAAGACAGAGGTAAATTCAAAACCCCTCCGATTATTTCTAGTACTAAATATATAATTTCTAGTATTGAATCCAGAGCATCCGTAAAGATAAATACTAAAATAAATGAATAAATAAATGAGTCGCAATTCTCTATTACTGTAATTAGTTCTGAGGCATACGATGATTTTATAGTGCACACTCCAAAATGGGTACCATGCTAATTCAAACAAAAAGGACTTTTTTCTGTCTTTCCTTAGGATTCTTGAGAACTTTAAGCACAACCGAACAGACAAATAAGTTTCTCATCACATTCTGCGTCAAACTGGTATTTTCTAGGGGAACGGGCATTCCCTCCAGCAGACCAAATTCACTAAATCCCTCATAAGCCACAAGGAGAAACGTGAGCATGACTTGGTATCAGCTGAACAGTTTTACTGACCCAACTGCTTTGGAAAGAAACTGAAATCAAACTTCCAGACATCTAAGCCAGGAAAAAAAAAAAAAAAAAGTCATATAGCATTGTCTGTTAAATCAATGGTTTAATATAAGCCAATGGGAAATCTGCTGACAATTTCTTTGATGCACAAGATCCCCATAAATGGTAAATTAAACTTTAAAAAACTCATTCAAAACCCAATGAGAAAAAACTGTGACTACATTGATTCCAACAATCGAATTACTGAAATGCCAGTCTGCACTTACGTAATCAGCTTCCACTCCAAGCTTTATGAGCAGAAAATAACGTCAAAAAAATACACTGGGGTCATCAGAAACCGGTAAAACTCCCAAGAGGGAACTGGACAGAGCTGCTCACTACAATACCACCATTTCAAACGGAGAAGGGGTTCAGGAGAAGGCACACAGTAACCCAGCTGGAATTCTCAAAAGAAGCAACGGCGACTGGTATTATGAAGAGTGCTGCAGAAGCGCCAGGCTTCACTGCAAGCAGCTGCCAACAACCAACAAGTGTGGGAGGTTGCTGAGGGGTAGGTAAGTATCTGCCGTAATATTCTGAATTAACTTTTTCTAGCACGATTTGAACAAGCGGTACTTGAAGCAATGCCTAGGAAAACCATCTGTGGTATTTCAGCAGTCGTTCAAGGGCAACCCGCTTGTGTTTTTACGTAACTGTCACGCAGAACAACCACTTCACCCCGTGGTACAGGAAGAGGGGAAAAAATATGTTTCCAGCACCCAAAAAACCAGACTGGACTTGAGAAATCTTCTCATAAATTTTCCTGCCACTTTCATTCAGTTTCAAGCTTCATTTCCAACCCTCCCGCATGAAAATCCTCTTACTGGTGCTTGGGACACAAAGAAAGGTAAATCAAAAGGGCGCGATTAGAAAATGAAAACACTTGCTGTGCCAGAGAAAGTATTTTGCAGACATTTCCCCAATCAAGAGTCACCGAAAACGTAGTGAGAAAATGAGAGTTGGCTTCATCTCTCCCCCCACCCTGATTCATATATAAAGACGTATTTAATAGCTGCACCAAGGATGAACCGAGCACTGGAGAGCCCCGCCTTCCCCTGCACGCAGACCCGGGGCCCCTTCTCTTAACCGCCCGCACTTCCCGGACTTTGCTCTCTCTCAGCACCGCACCCGCACCTC